GCTCCATCACCTCGGATTATGGCTTCATCACCTCGGATTATGGCTCCATCACCTCGGATTGTGGCTCCATCACCTCAGATTGTGGCTCCATCAACTCAGATTGTGGCTCCATCAGCTCGGGTTGTGGCTCCACCACCTCAGATTGTGGCTCCATCAACTCAGATTGCGGCTCCATCAACTCGGATTGCGGCTCCATCAGTTCAGATTGCGGCTCCATCAGTTCAGATTGTTGCTCCATCACCTCAGATTATGGCTCCATTACTTCAGATTGTGGCTCCACCACCACGGACTGTGGCTCCACCACCTCGGATTATGGCTCCATCACCTCGTATTATGGCTCCATCACCTCAGATTGTGGCTCCATCAGCTCGGGTTGTGGCTACATCAGTTCAGTTTGTGGCTCCATCACCTCAGATTGTGGCTCCATCAGCTCGGATTGTGGCTTCATCACCTCGGATTGCAGCTTCATCACCTCAAATTGTGGCTCCATCAGTTCAGATTGTGGCTCCATCACCTCACATTATGGCTCCATCAGATCGGATTGGGACTCCATCACCTCGGATTATGGCTCCATCACCTCCAATTATGTCTCCATCATCTCCAATTATGGCTCCATCACCTCCAATTATGTCTCCATCACCTCAGATTGGGGCTCCATCACCTCGGATTATGGCTCCATCACCTCGGATTATGGCTCCATCACCTCGGATTGTGGCTCCATCACCTCAGATTGTGGCTCCATCACCTCAGATTGTGGCTCCATCACGGATTATGGCTCCATCACCTCAAATTATGGCTCCATCACCTCAGATTGTGGCTCCATCAACTCGGGTTGTGGCTCCACCACCTCAGATTGCGGCACCATCAGCTCGAATTGCAACTCCATCAGTTCAGATTGTGGCTCCATCAGCTCGGGTTGTGGCTCAACCACCTCAGATTGCGGCTCCATCAGCTCGAATTGCAGCTCCATCAGTTCAGATTGTGGCTCCATCAGCTCGGATTGTGGCTCCATCAGAAATACCTCAAATCAGAACATTAAGTGAACCATTGCTCCCTATTCCTGATATTCCCTCTGATGTTGTTAGCTTTAATCCTCACTTGATATTCCCTGAGCAGTCACCTGAAGTAGATGACTGGATGAATGGAAAAGGTGGAATTCCACTACCTCATTTAGAGATGTCTTTGCCTTACCTTCCGCCATCTGCCGCCAGCATCAAAACACTGACTTCTTTGCTCAAAGTTAAACAATCTCTGCTTGCAGCTGCAGTGAATATCTTGCCAGTTGAGTATCAAAACTATAGAGAGGAAGAAGCTCAAGTAGCTGCCATCCGTAAAATGATTGCCGAAAGATTTGCCTCAAATCCAGCGTACCAGCTTTTGAAGGCTCGTTTCTTGTCGTGCTTTACTTTACCAGCCCTTTTGGCCACTATAAACCCTTCTGTGAAATATGAGTTGCCCACAGATAACAATGGTGATGAAGATGAGGTCTTGATATTACAAGATAAAGATTAAAAAAAGGATTCGGCCACCAGCTGCAGTAAGTTGCGCATTACATTGAAGCAGTCTTTGTTTTGTTTGTTAATTTATTTTTTTTATAATTTATGCATTTTCCCTATCTTTCAGGGGATTGAGCTTAACACAAATGAAAATGAAGCATCAGCAAAACAGTTCTCAGGAATCAGTACAAAAAGACAAAGGAGTCGACATTGAGTTACATAAGATTCATCATCTGAATGAGTACCAGTAACTTCAGATTTGGTACAGTTCACGATTCCTGTAGAAATGTGTACCACTAAAAAACATATTACAGTTAAAGGGACCAGTCAGATATCCATTGCACTAATTTTGTTTACTCCATCCATACGTTTTAAGAACATTCAGTATGTGTCCTGACAATTTTTTGGAAATAAAATTATAAATAAACAAGACTCAGTAAGGTTGCACTGAGCTACTATTAAATTATTATATACTTTCGTTACTGCTTTTTGAATATTCTGTAGAAATGTTAAATGTTTTGTCATTGTTTGTTTTTGTGCATTTGTATTATAAGCATTTGTATTTTGTTATGCTTTTATATTATGTGATCATAATGTGCAACCCACACCTGAATCTAGAAGTTTGTGAACTTTTAAAAAAATCATGAATTTATAATAAATTATTTTGTACATTCAATACCACTTAATAAAAGTACATAATTTCTTGGGTTTTTAAACAAAACTCATTTCACATGAGATGAGAACATCAGTACCTTAATAGAAGCTGTTGTATTTTACATGAAGCTGAAAGCCTTGCAAGGGAATGCCACAAGTTGAGATCACCGAGACACACTGAATATATATTAATAACGGTTGACTATATATTTTCTTCAGAAAATGATGTACTCATTATGTAGTCATTCTGCGACCAAATACCACAGAAAGTGTGTTGCAGCTCAACAATTTATTGTGAAATAGAGGGAAATTTTAAAAAACTGCAATGACAGCTGGAAAAAGGGAACTTATGTCACCACTCAGCTCGGTGAACTTCATTTCCTTTTTGAGTTTACAGACGAGCTGAATGTGTAATGCGCATTTAGCCTTAAAACTTGCAATCAACTATTTTCAAGCTAACGGAGCTAGTGTCGGTCATGTTTGATGGCCCAGGGGGTTTTGAGGTGGAGGAGGATGATGAGTGCTGGGCACGGCTGGAAGACTACAGAATGCTTCTCATCAAGACCATTGAGCCCTCAAGGATAACACCTTATCTGAGACAATGTAAAGTGCTGAGCAGTGAGGACGAAGAACAGATCTACAACGACCCCAGTCTGGTTATCAGGCGTCGAAAAGTTGGTAAGTGTTTTTAGGCCACCTAAGATTCAACTGTTTTCAAACAATAAATATGCAGCAAATATTGTTGAAATAAATAGTTACTGTATTATCCGAAGCTAGTTACTGTATAATCTGAAGCTTTCTATCTTATTTTCAAAGTATACACGTAGTGGTCTCTAGATATTTATATGGTTCAGGAATGTTTTTTTTTTATTTGCTTATAGGAGTGCTGCTGGACATATTACAAAGAACTGGCCTCAAAGGATATGAGGCATTTCTAGAGAGTTTGGAGCTAGACTACCCAGATGTGTACCGCAAAATCACCGGCAAAGAGCCTGCTAGGGTCTTCTCCGTACTTATTGGTAAGTTGTATATTTTTAATTAAGTATCAGTTGGTTAGTATACTTTTTTAATATGCTAAACAAAAAATACTTTAGCCACATCTTTTATGCAAATAAAATCTGAAAACTGTTATCATCATAGGCCAAAGAACTTTGTAAAATATTGCCACAGGATTTTTAACCATGTCTCTGGAGGGTACTAAAAGAGGTCCTTAGAGAGAATATAAAATTTCATGTTTCCATGTTAATTAATGTTTGTTCATGCAATGTATGGATTCCCAGGCTTTTGACATCTTTATAATTTCATTAATTATTAGCCTTTCATGAACACCCCACAGTTTTCTTTCACAAACCCCAGTTTGCGAAAACCTTCTGTAATGTAATGTTTAATGCATTTCACGATATTGATAACAATGAATGAAATAGATTATCTTTCTGTTTTTTTAATCAATATGGTATATAATAATCACATTCAAGTATATGTGATAAACGAGTTAGGTCAAAAGTAATCTAAAAGTAGGCTAGTCATCTACCCAGCACTGCATACTACACACATTCATACTATACAGAACCTGCTTTTTTATGATCTGCAAAGTACTGACTCAAAAGAAAGAATGCAATTTTGAATGAATCTGTTGAATGAATGATTCAAGGAAGCGCTGTTAAAGACACTCACTTGTTGCAATGCCACCACCTGCTGTAACAATGTACACTGAAAAATCCCCACCACAAATGTCCAGACTGACAGTCTGTATGGAAAGAGTGATACAAACAGTGCAAATCCCAGTGCTGTTGGAAGGCCGCACTATTAATTAAATTTGAAATAAACTGTTTAATAAAATGTAGTAATACTAAGTTACTATTCTAGATTAAAGTTATTATATTGTGTTACAGATAAAAACGTGCTTTTTATACTTAAGGTGCAAGCACAGCTAGAAATGTTGACTGTCATGGTTTCTGTATGCAAACCTCTGGTTTACAGAACTCTCTCTCTGTCTGTTCACCCAGACACGGCCGGTGAATGTGGCCTCACTCAGTTCCTCATGAGCGAGGTCTCTCGCCTACAGAAGCTCGCACAGGACGAACGGAGGATGCGACTCGAAGTGTCTGCGCAGGCGGCGGAGCAGCTAGACACCATCCGCCAGCTGCAGCTGTGTGAGAGTGAGCTGCACAAACAGCAGGACCGCGTGCAGCGCATCCGAGAGGAGCGCGAGCGCATGTGCGAGGAGGCGCGTAAACTGAGAGACGAGAATTACCGACTGATGCACGACCTGACCCGACTGAGCGAGGACAAGAACTGCGCACTCATGTGTAACAGAGACCTCCAGCTCGAGGTGATCAGTCAGTCCAGCAAGAAAACCTTTCAAAAACATGTCTGGGTTTTAGTTCACCACAAAAGAAATAAGAAATGAAATGCATTTGCGGTCATAACTGTAATTTTAATGGTAAATTTCTTCACTCTGGTTCCCTCAGCAAGGTCCCAATAGGATTTTTCCATCGGCTTTTGAATTGTTGCAGAAACAACCAACAAAAGTTGATCATTCTTCCATGTTTTATAATCTTAAAGGGTTAGTTCACCCAAAAATTAAAATGGAACTATAAGCTCCAACTTGTTACTGAGTTTTGGCCTACAAAATATGTCATCCCTGTAGCATGTCTATGTCTACAGAAGGGCAAAGTTGAAGAAAGTAGACTATTAGTTTTCTAAAGTATTAGATTATATTATTTTATTTTTGTTAAAATGTAATTTTATGATCTTTTCTCTTTGTTTTTCTCTTTAAATTTGATCTTTTCTCTTTGCATATTTCATTTTCTCCCTCTTTGATCCTTTCTGTAAGATTGAGAAATTGAAACACAACTTAATGAATGCAGAAAGTGACTCAAAGATCCAACGGAAAAAAACAATAACCTTGAAGAATGCGATGGAGCAGAGGCCAAGTCCTGAGCTGATCTGGCAGATGCAGAGAGAAAATGACCTCCTTACAGCTCGCATACAGGAGCTGGAAAGTGCTTCCAAGGTAAATCAGTCTCATTAGACTACACTAATCAAAATATGAACAAGAATGCCTAATACACACAATTCACTGACGCAGGTCCAAACTCTGGAGCATGAAAAACTTGATTCACAGTCATTAGAGGAATTCAAGCAACAAAGTCAGGCACAATACCAGGAGCTGGTGAATGATCTCTACAATCTAAGGAGAGACCTACATGACGCAGAAAAGCTGTGTGATAAGGTAGCCTTTGTTTAATATGTGCAGACTGGATTCAAAGTAAATTCTAAGTAAATGTTACTTTATTTTTTGTTATGCATATCATATTAGGAAATTTATTTATATATATATAGCGGGTACCATTTTTCCCAGTTAATATATTTCTAAAGGTGCTGAAGACATGAAATGTTCACCAGATGTCGGTAACAACCCAAGTAATCCATACATACAAATAAAACAAAACAAATAAGTTCAGAAATTAAGTTATGTGTATATTAAAATGGAATGACACGGAAAAAGTACTGAACTACTGAAATGTATTTAATACTTCGTACAAAAGCCTTTGTTGGTAATGACAGCTTCAAGACGCCTCCTGTCTGGAGAAACTAGTCGCATACATTGCTCAGGTGTGATTTTGGCCCATACTTCCACAGAGTCTTCACATCTTGAAGGTTCTGTGGGCCTCTTCTATGAACTCTGATCTGTAGTTCTTATTTTCTATTAGATTCAAGGCAGGTGATTGGCTGGGCCATTCTAGCAGCTTTATTTTCTTTTTCTGAAACCAACTGAGAGTTTCCTTGGCTGTGTTTGGGATCATTGTCTTGCTGAAATGTCCACCCTTGTTTCATCTTCATCCTGGTACTGTAGGTGTTGGCACTGAACCAGCTAATATTAATTTTATTTGTTTTGTTTTCTTTGTATGTATGGATTACTTGGGTTGTTACCGACATCTGGTGAAAATTTCACATCAACAGCACCTTTAGAAATATATTTACTGGGAAAAATGGTGACAATACTTATTTTACCCACTGTATGTATGTATATATATATATATATATATATGTGTGTGTGTGTGTGTGTGTGTGTGTATAATGGTATAATGTATGTATATATATTTTTTATATAATTCTGTTTTTAAATTTAAGTATCGAGAGGAGAAGGATGAGTTAGAACTGAAGTGCATAATGCTAAAAAAGGACTCCAAAATGTACCGTGACCGAATGGAAGACATTCTGAAGCAGATGGAAGAAGTCATCAAAGAAAGAGACAAGGTATCTTACTTTCCTCTTTGCATGACAAAGCATATAGCAACATCATGTGGTAAATTTTATGGTCATTTTACATTAGATCAGAAATGCAAAAACACAAAGTTGCCCTGTGACAGCTTTTGATTTGGCCCACAATCCATATCACAAGAGGGGGGGAAAACATGGCATTAAACCATATCTTCATTTTTAACTTATCTTTTTGTTATTTTATTTTTGCACTGAAATGTAGAAAATATAAATGTGATTAAGAAGTTTAAATTTTAATATAATATAGTTGGATATAATTTGGCCCACAGCCCTCAAACTAGTTTGATTTTTGGACCTTCATAAAAAAGTTTGATCACATCTGCATCAGATGAAGAAATGCCAATCTTTATTGAGATTTATTCAATGTATCTGTTGTATGTATCACATTAACCACAACAGTTGTATGGCACTGCCCTTTTAATAGGCTATTTGTACAAGAGAGGAGTACCATTTGGAGAACTCAAAAAATCTCCAAGACAAAGACCAGTACCGCAAACAGATCCGGGAGATGGGAGAGCGTTATGATGAACTTCAAGTCCAGTTGTTTCGAACTCAAGGAGAAGTTCTTGCTCTTCAGTCAAAGCTTCGCAAACAGAAAAACCCAATTCAAATGGTATGTACACTTGAAATTTATACTACACAGAGTGAGCGTGATGTGTGAATGGAATAGATGAGTCATTATTTAGTTCAAGTGCTTCCTGTTGTGTCACTCTGATGTAAGCACATTGTCTTTAGGCACAAAATGCATGATCACTGGGTAATGGTTTATAATGAATAGTGTTTGTTATGATGTGTTTTATTCCTCAGAACTCAGAAGAAAGCTCCTTGCTGAGTTCATTTGAGGTAATTTTATATAACTCTCTTAAACATTTAAATGCAAACACTCTTCAGAAATAAGATATTTCTGTTGTCTTTCTCATCTTAAAGTGGCATTGTTCTCCACAGCATTTGGTTTGTATTCTTTTTAGTCATCAACAGGGTTGCTTGCATTTTGTCCACAGATGAAAAGTCAGACTAGTGAGGAGGAATCCAGGGAAAGGGGTGAAAAGGGTAACGTTCTCTGATTTTCTCCATCAGATCTCATGCAAAAAATATTTTTCTTGTTTTTTTAAACATTGTTCCTGTTTCCTCGCACAGATATGAGTGAAGGGTCACAGAGCCAGACATCTGGAGAGTACAATGTAGGTATCTTTGTTGTGGATGCTTATTCATACAGTGATAGTGGCTTCATTTTTTAATGCATATTTCATGTTTGCAGTATTCAGAGAGGATGTTCTTTGAGGAGGACATATCAGCTAACTGCAGAATTAAAGCAAAATGCAACTTTCACTATAGGAGGTTGGTTTTTTATTTTTATTCTTTCATAACAACAATTTAACCATTGGAATTAACCATTGAAGCAGAGCTACTACTATATTTCAGATATTAATGAAATGGAATGATTTGTTTCTAAGCAATACTCCTAATGTGGTCTTGGACAGGAAACGTGCTTTAAGAACCAAAAAATTCACTGACAAAGAGAGTGTGCAGTGCATACTGGACAACACTACTGGGAGTGATACGGACGGGATGTGACATACAGCTTTGGACAAGGAGACGAAATGTGGCCTTCTTTAAAGGCATATTAAAATGCAATTTAATGATAATCCAACATTGTTCTGCATCCAGTGACCCATAAAACCTGATTAACATCATATCAATATCATAGTGTTCACTGTTAAAGTATGTCCAGTCAATCACTTGTCATGAGTCTGATCTGACAATTTTTCTGTTGTCTATTAAAATATAATATAATAAATATCAAATATCTTTTTATGTATATCTTGTTCTCTTGAGCAAAAACAGTGGAAATGTTTGAATGTTTTTTTTTTTGTACCCAAGACATTAAGGTATGTGCAGAAACTATGATGTTAATGATGTTTAAAAATGAATTTACCCTAAAAATATTCACTGAACGTTTCTCATATAAGGGCATGAATGATACTGTATGAAACGATGTGAATGGGATATTCTAATTATTTTCTATTAACGTTTTTGTGAAATTATTGTGGTGTAAAATAAAAATATAATATAATATATATATATAACTGTTTTGTTATCAATGGCAAAATAAAACATTTTTTTTACTAAATATGTACGAATTTTCTTTTACTACTTTTGAATGGGAAATTTGATTGGACCGAACACACTTGACCTCACCGTTGGTTGGACTTTTTTACTCCGACGGCGTCACCTGTGTGGCTGCCATAGCAACAAGAAAACGCTGAGTGAAGGCCCGAGTGAACGCTTCCATGAGTTAAGAACACCGTAATTTGTATTTGCATAATACGCAGATAATTGTGTTGAAAACTCTTATAATGGACCAGCCGTACTATAACTTCGCACTGATTTCGATATAGTTTTATTTTGACTGAAAAATAAGCATATTATTCCTTAGCTACAATGGCAGACACCCGTGTGCTTCCCAGTGGTAAAGTTTACCGGCAGATGTTTGACGCTCAGGTAATATTATTCATAGTATCTGAACGATAAATGTGCGTGTTTACATATTGTTGATGTTTGTAATATTGCGGATAATTTTGGATGCAAAATCCTGGCCTGAAGGCAGCTGTGGGCGTATGTTGATGTCGATGTGTTCGTGGTCAGGTTCAGCTGTCTCTGGCTCTCTTTGACTCGCGGAGGAAGCGCGTCGAGGATGAGGGCGACTGTCTGCTCAGTGGAGACGCGGCGGACTCCGCATCACAGCAGCTCAATGGGACGTTCAACATCACCACACGGTAAGATGCTGCTGCTGTTGCTGCTCAAGATACGAATTTAAAGACATGAATACTAATTAAAAGTGCCCTGTTTGATAGGAACACACTTTACTCTGGTGGAAAAAGAAATGAGGACGAGGATGATAGTGAGGAGGTTTGGGGTCTTCCAGACACTGTTGGTGAGAACTTAGTGATAACTGTTTGCAACATAGAGTCTTTTCCTTTTTTTTTCTTTTCTTTTCTTTTCTTTTCTTCTCTTCATGGCATTTTTGTTACAGTGTAATCACACCAATAAGTACTGAGTAATAATAATGAACAGCATGTACTTACTATATAGGTTATAGGTTATAGGATTAGGGTTAGTTGCTTGTAATTATGCATAATTTACTCTTAGTAATAGTGCATGAAACATGTTGTGTAACAAGGACACCATAAAATAAAGTGTTACCTGTACATCCAAACATAGGAATAGGAGACAATAAATGTTTGTAATACGTGTTCTCTTTTTGTAATGCAAGATATCTTAAAATGTTTTTGAATGAAGTCTCTTATGCGCACCAAGGCTGCATTTATTTGTTCAAAAAACAGTAATATTGTAAAATACTATTAACAAAGCTGAATTTTCAGCAGCCATTACTCCAGTCTTCAGCATCACATAAATCGTTCTAATATGAATCGTTCTAATTTCCTAGGCCAACAACAGACTAACACATCTTAATATCAATTAGAAAACAGTTGTTGCTGCTTAATATTTTTGTTGAAACCACAATAGTTTTTTTTTTGTTGTTAATTTTCAGTCAAAGAAACTATATAAGACATAGAAACTCATAATAAGGCATGTTTGCCAAATTTATTTTCAATAATAATTAATATATTGTATAATATAAAATTGACAATGAAAAAAATCAATCTATTGTGATTCTGTTTTGTCTGGAGTTCCAGAGAAAAAAAACTCAGACATCATTGATCGTCTTGCGGAGAAAAGGCGAAGGGATCACAACAAAGCTGTTTGTCAGTTGCAGACAGAACTCTCCAGCATCAGTGTGGTACACACATCTATATATGTAGTGTCAAAATGTGTTTATTCTTATGTAGAGTCCAGTTAATCTATTGTCCATCTACAGTTTAATCACTATGGCATGCTAATTATATCTCTCAAAGGTGCCTTATATCGTGATATTTCTGCATCTAGGGTTTTGAACCATTATTCAGACAGACAGGAAAGGATATCCTTCTCAGATTGTCAGAGCATAATGACAATATTGAAAACCTTATGCAAAAGATTGAAAACATCTCTGATTTGACAGCACACAGCTATCAGGTGAGGACCAAATGTCGTATACAATACTTGCAATTTGTCAAATTCAGTATTTGTAAGTAAATGAGTTTTGGATCACTCAAGTGTTATTCATCCTTTGTCTTATAAAGGACATGCATGACATCTGGAACAAAGTCTGCTATGAATCTTCCTTGAAAAGAAAGTGGATTAAAGAGCTAGATGAGATATATGCCAACTATGAATCTGAGAGAAAAGCTATGGTATGTGGTCTATATTATGTAAAGCATATGTTCCCAGAGTCAGTAGAGTAGTACACTGCCTATTTGCCCCTCTTTCCTAGATTTCAGCATTATTGAGAAAGTCCACCACAAAACTGGAGAAAATCAGTTATTTGATGCCATGTGATGTCCACAGACTGATTGACAGTGAAGCAATGGTAGTTTATTCCACATGACAAATACGTATTTGTAAGTTTTCAGTAGTTTTTTTTTCTTTCGTCAAGAATCCATGTTTTCCACAGATGATAAACCAAGCTCTGCTAGCAAATCGACGTGCTTTGGCCAAACTGTGCTTGAATTTGATGGAGAAACATTTGCAGATGGACATTTTCCAAAGGCTGAGATGGGAGGAAAAGCTCCAAGATTGGAAACAAATAAAACTTAATGACACAGTTACCTGGTTCAGGTAGGTCTGATGTTAAAAAATTGTGAAAATTCCCTTGACAGAAAAATAATGCCATATTGTTTACCAACAAAGTGCATGATCTGTCTGATGAAAATAGTTGGCAATTGGAGTTTTGCTGGTTACGATAGTTAAGAATCCTACCAGGGCCATCTGAATATCGTACAGGGAAATGATATTATCTCAAATACAACATATACCCATATTTATGTTCTTCCTGCAGAGACGTTATGAACAGCCCTCACATTCAGAGCCCTAAAAACATTCAAGATACTCTGAGCACTTTGAAGTCAGATCAGAAAACACAGAGAGATAAACGCATCCAAACGCTGGAGATGATTAGGTGAGAAATTAAACACTGATTTCTAGTCTTGCACTCCATTTCCTCAGTGAATGTTAGTTAACATGTTACATTTTCTGCCCCATATCAAGAGACATGAAGCCTCCAAGAATCTCAAAGTCATCAGTTGCAGAGTGGTATTCAGCACTGTCTGTCATCAATGAGCAAATAGGTCAGATAATGTGGTTCTCATTACAGTAATCCAGCATTATAAAATGGTAATATGTGACCCTGGACCACAAAACCAGTCTTAAGTCGCTGGGGGATATTTGTAGCAATAGCCAAAAATACATTGTATGTATGCCAAAAATCATTAGGATATTAAGTAAAGATCATGTTCCATGAGGATATTTTGTAAATTTCCTACTGTAAATATATTAAAACTTAATTTTTGATTAGTAATATGCATTGCTAAGAACTTCATTTGGACAACTTTAAAGGCCATTTTCTCAATATTTAGATTTTCTTGCACCCTCAGATTCCAAATTTTCAAATAGTTGTATCTCGGCCAGATATTGTCCTATCCTAACAAACCATAAAACCATCATTTCAAAAAATTGACCCTTATGACTGGTTTTGTGGTCCAGGCTCACATATGTGCTCTTCGTCACTTTGCGCACTTTAAAAATGTCCTCACTATGTTTAATTTCTTCAGATTGTATTCACGTTGCCACAATGGAAAAACTTCATAAAAACTTCGAGAACAACTGGCAAGTATGTTTGGCAGAGGTTGATCTCTTTAAGGTGAGAAATAACTTGTGCTTTCTCATTGGTCTTGATTCTCAAAGCACTACAGAAATGCAACAATATTCTCAACTCTTTACACACAGACAGAGGTGTCCACATATGGATTCACCTCAGATGAAATACAGAATATTGTTAACGTGGAGATACTACCTCTCATTGGCCAGCGCCAATCACAAACTGAGGTCTATTTAGAAAAACTTGATGTAAGTTTTGTTTCCTCAATGCTTTAAATGAAATCTCTCCACTTCTGGACTATCATGTTATATTGTGTACTTTAACATTTTTACAGAAAGCTTTTGAGTGTTTAGCCAAAACTGCAGCTTATGACAGTAAGTGCCTGTTCAAGTTTATGTGTGGGGCAGCTCGGCTGTGGGAAAACCACTGTGCAGGCATGTTGAACAGAGAACAGCAGCTACAAAGTTCACTGGAGTCCCTCAGTCAAGTCCACAAACTAGAGAACCAGGCAAGATTTTGTTAACTGTTTTATGCATTTCTCATAAGTAATGCTTGTAATATTCATCTTTTTTGCAGTATTTTGTAACATTTCACACCTTGACATGTTTGAACATGGATATAAGCTGTCAAATGTCTCACACTAAAGAGGAAAGAGGCCCAGCTGGATATGATGTTGGACAAACTCAGGCAGGAAAGCTCAGAAGAAGCTCTGAAAGCCTCTTTAAAGAAGACACTAAACTATTTGGAAGAGGTTAAGAATGGGTAACACACATTGAGATTTCTTTGAGGTTTTTTTTGTTGTTTGTTCATTAAGATATCTGAACTTCACTATAAAAAGAAAAAAAAAAATCAACAAAATAACGAAAACCTAGACATTTTTGTAAATCCTTTTCCTGTATTTTTCTTAAGGTACATGAACATTTATAAAGAGGAAGTTGAAACTGTGGAGTCCTACCCGTCGTTAGTCTTGCAGGAATTACAAGCATACAGTCATTCTGTCAGCCAATTGTTTAATGTCAAAGAGATTTATGGTCAGGTACATATTCAACCAGAACAATGCTGTTTTCTGTTTGTTTAAAGACAAACATTGTTAAAATAACTTTATTTTTCATTACAGGACTCAAAGGATTTTTGCCAACTTTATCCCTCTCTTAAACTTGGTGAGTTGAAAACTAACATCGAGGAACTGTATTATTCTGTTGCCTCTGAACCACCCATTTATCATGTTTATTTTGGTGTTTACTCAGGTCAAAGGATGACAAATAT